GGAGGTGGGGGGGAGGAAGGGGGCGGGAGGACCAACCTGTCAACGTGGATGTTGGGTAATAAAACCTTGCACAAACCTCTGCGCAGGGCTGCCTGCACCTCCTTCCCCTGGGGCTGGGGGACAGTGGGGCAGCCCAGGGAAGGGTCCTGGGGACAAGAAACCAGGCCAAGCCCTCCCCTCCAGCACCAGCCTGACCTGAAACCAGCACCTCGTGCTGGGAGAGATGAGCCTTCCAGAGAGATGGACTGATGCCCACAGGACACTGTGACCACCATGGCACAGGTTTATTGCCAGCCTCTGAAGACATCATCACCAAAGCAGTTGCCCGAGTTCTGCTCTGGCCCCGCTGTGCCCTGCACACCCCCTCACAAGTCGGTGGTGGTGAAGGTGGTGTTGATGTACGCCGTTTTGGTGGGCTCCTTCTGGTTCAGGGCGGCCACCAGGACCTCCTCGTCACCGTGGTCCGTCGGCTGCGCTTTGCCCACCTGCAGGAGGAGAGTGTGGTCAGAGGAGATTGGGACAGAGATGAAGGATGGGGACACAGCCGTCCTTCCCTGGGGGCTGTTAAGGGGACGGAGAGGAAGGGACATGAGGGATCCAGGAGCTCTGGGACAACAGCAGAGAGGAGGGGCTGTGGGGTTCAGCGTCAGGACTCCCTGCTGGGCACCAGCAGCTCTTTGCACACTCACCTTGTCCTTGAGGTTGTTGTCCCCGGGTGCATTTACTGTGTTTTCATCCAGGGAATTCACGCTGTGGAGAGTGGAACGTGGGGGGTAGGAGAGGGTCCGGGCAGTGGTGGAGTGGGGTGGGGATGCAGGGTGATGGCCCTGTGGCCTTCAGGACCTGCCCGCAGAGCTCACCTGGCTACAGAGACGGAGTCCTCGTGGAAGCCCAGGTCGTGGGAGGGATCAATGGAGACGTTCAGCATGGGGTTGGCTCTGGCCAGGGATGGGTGGCAGGTGAGTGACCATCCCATGGAGCTGGGAGGTCAGCCCAGGGCAGCCATGTTCCCCAGGCAGGAGGGTTGTGACAGCAAGCACTGCCACCCTGGATGTGGGGACAGCCTGGGCTCTCCCCTCCTGCTTCAGGAAGCCCCCACCACCCCCCCACTCACCCCTCTGCATTGTACTGGTTGGTCCCGGGGATGCCGGCTCCCTGCTGCACCATGGCAGGGCTGATCGTTGTGGCCGCCTTCAGAGCCTTCATGGCACTCAGCTTTCTCTTGTAGCTGCAAAGCCCAGGGGCAGGGCAGGTGAGAGGTGTGGGGGGGAACTGGGCTGTGGGATGGGGTGGGCAGGAGTGGGACGGAGGGTAGGGATGGGATCTGGGGGTGGGAGGCGGGGGGCGGTG